TGAGTAAAACGGTTGTGTCTGCCATCTCTAATCTTCTACTTGTCTTCTCAGGTATCTGATTTTGATAAGCTGGCCATATCCAACGTCGCAGTGTGCTTCGAGTTAACGTACCGGGACTCTCACCATGGGTATCGCTTTCCTTTCTAAACAAGCGTCTTTTTTGGGTTATTTTGACTTACAAAGCACTTAAGTAGCTGTTGCCTAATAAAATGATTTGAATAGAAACACCAGTTTGGACAAGAGTGCAATTTTTGCCGTCTTGGAAAATGGGGACAAAGGCTTGTGGGAATGAAGCCACAGATACTCCGTCAGACGTAGCTCCGTAATTTGGAAGCACAAGTCCCATTGCAGTGCACAAACCCACACATAAACTATCCCACAACCAACAAGGTTTGCTGCAAAATACTTCCTTTCTGCGCTACAACCGCCATAAAGAGACAAATTGTTGGCAATAAAGGCAGATCCAACTGCACGAAATTCGACTGCGCATAAACTGGACAGTGGTGGGCGTTTGTAGTGCATATTTTTTTACATACCCTCAACTGTAACACCTTTTTTTTCACCGAATATATATACAAAAGGTTCAAAAGTGTGGTAGATGGTTGTTTCGACAAATTCTCTCACACGCACAAAATTCACCGGAGGCATTATCTTACAGCATGTGCAATTTCGGCGAAATGGTTATTATTTTCAGCGATTTGATTGGCCATTGTACCCTGAAGGTTGTGAATTCTGACAAACCTTGCTTTGGAAATGGTTCTTTTTTAAATATGGAGTCTTGCTAACACTTAAGACGACGAAAAATCCACTTGGCTGTCGTTGATCCTCTGTAGTTAGAGAACAAAAAGGGGTTGAAGTATTACCAAGATAATTGCTGAAAAAGAGTGCCGTAGTTTTTCTACTTCTCCCCGTTCATGTTTGAATTCAACAATGCAAAATGTTGCTCTACTTTTTTACAACCAAGCAATTTTCAACTTTTTGCATGAAGCCAATACCAAGGACTACCAAGTAGTCGTTTTTTTCTCGAAAAACCAACTATTTTGTCAAAGGGTCAAGAGGAACGACTTCATGAGGCGGATTGTAATTATTGCAACCAGATTTTGCAACTGTGCACACAGCCAGAGAAGATTCAGTCGCACGAAACAATTTCGAACTTCCACGAGAATTTTATTTAGTTACTTTGATTTACTTTGACTGGCATTGTCTATTTTTTGCATGACAGTTTAAAATTAAGTTATGAAAATAGCGAGTTAGTAGCCTGCTGGAACTAAAATTCTCTAGCTTCAAAAACGATTAATATGAATCCCATTTTTAAAACAAGAAAATGTAAGAAATTGAAGAAAATTTGGCACTTATTTGGTACTTAGTAGCCTATTGGTTTATGTTTTTTCCAATCACATTTGTCGCTGCATGTGCTTAATCGATGTCAATTGGCTCAGCTTGTGCAAAACCAACCAATAGGAACTTTGCCTTCTAGTTGGTTTTTGATCATGATATTGTACTAATTATGTTAAGAAGCATTTATTTAATTGGCAATTTGTTGAATTTTAGGTTGATGAAGTTAGGCAAAAACTTAATTAACGCCCAGTACATTTAAATCGCCAGGAAATCATTTTAAATGTGTCCTTTGAAATAATTAATGTAGCGGAACCGCAGCAATTAACAGACTGTCGTTCAGCTGCAAACTAATGCACTAAGAAGCAATTACCACACCAAGAGGTTAATCCAATCCATAAAACAGCCTTGTAATTGGTGGTTTTTAATGTCAGAGTCGAGGAGGAATGCAATGCCACGTTACATAGTGTACACGCATGTAATTGCGGAGGGATTTGGCTAGACTCGGCTCCATTACACCAACAGAATCCTGCACACGCATGCAAATTTACGTTTAGTGATTGTTGCCGTGTATATTTTCAAGTAATTTCATCTGAAACCCCTGGTAAAAAATCAGCTATAATTTTTGTTGAAAAAACGGTGGTTGTTTGAGCCACAATCTTCATTAAAAACCATTGATTTAAGTGTCACTCCACAAATATTTAAATTTTGGCCTGATTGCGCATTGACATGACCTTGATACAGCTAAACAAAAATGCAGAAAATTGTCAACGAAAGAAATGCCAATGCCACGATTTCATTAGCTATATTTGTAAATTTCAAAGCGAAACCTGTCTTTAGATTTACGAGATGTAGGAATTAGTTTTTTTTTCAAAAAACCGGGTAAAATAATTCGGCAACTTTGTTTTCTTTCTTTGCATCTTTAAATGCAGGTTGGTTATCGCTTGCATTAGATCAGCATTTTGCGTTGCACATCGACGCAGAAAACCCATTAAACACACATAAGAATTTTGTCGACAAAATCTTGACGCGCTTGATTTCTGCCAGAACTTACGCGGATGCTCCAATTTTCATAAAATGACATATTTTTCAAATCACCACGCATCAATCTCTGTCCTGCCAAGTCGATTTTTAAAAAAACTGCAAAAAATTTGATTAAAAATTCTTAAAAATCAAAATTTGTATTATTTTTTGAAATTTTTGTGCAAGTGTGCACCGATAAAACTTGGCTTGTTCAATTGGAGGGAATTGACGCTTGTTATAAGAACTTTCGTATTTGTACTACTTTATGCCGCATCAGTAGCATAACTGACATTCCTCGTTCAAAATCGTAAATAACCTTGCATGTACTTAGGTGAAATAAAACAATAAATTAAACTTGGGTATTATTTCACAAAGAAGTCTTTTTAACACAGGAACTATCGTAAGTAAGGACAAATAAAAACAATAATTGTTTTCTTATCGAGCAATGCCATCCCAGTCCTGGCCACTTATTTATTTGAACTTTTATCGAATAAAACGATTGAGACCTAAAATTTTCGCAAAAAAAACGGCTTTTTATAAAGTCCATTTCAGTTTTTTATGAAGTAAAAATTTATCGACTTGCAAGTTAAGCTCTTTTACTACATCAAATTTAGTTAAACGTGCGACTTGAAAAGATTTTTTTAATCATTTGGAATTTCGACGGATTTCTTGAACTGGTCAAAATTTCAATAATGCGAAATTATAACGCGAACTTTAAATTGCAAGGTAACAGTGCGATGCACGCATCAGTGGAAGGTAGAGTAAAACTTGCGATTTAATTGGACAAGTTGAAAAATTCAAAAAACGAGTTTTGTGTGCATTTACACTTGTCGTTTGCTGACACAAAGAAGCACTTATGACTGTTATTATATGAAAAATAATACAAACTAAAATCACGTTTAATGATTGGTTGGGCGAAATTAAAATTTAAATGCAGCATTTCCAAAGATTATTTAAGTATTTCAAGTCGCTATTTGGAATGATTGTTTCCCTTCGGTCAAACATAACTAGAGTAATAGTGAAACCCCAAACGAGAAATCTGGTAACGAAAGTATTTGACGGATTAATCAGAACACTTTCCATACCAATGACCTGCAGATTGAGTTGGTCGAAAGACATCGGCGGTGTGCTGGTCCAGGCACGCGAGTGCGTCGGTCTAGACGTGGTTCCAGTTCCAGAGTCATTAGTGCCGAGGTCCTTCTCCTGAAGTCGCCTGATCATGGCGCTTCGCTCGACGCAGTTCCATCGACCGGCGTCCTTTTCCGACGTCCACGTGATCAGGAGACGCGACTCCAGGAGGTTGGAGTCGACCCAACGACTCGACACGTAGGTTCCGCCCGATTCCACACGACTGGCACGCCTCCGGACACCGTTGTGGTACCATTCCAGCACGATGGACGGATCCATTTTGGCCTCAGTTGAGGAGAAGTTTGCCCTGCATATCAGCTCCAGTGGCATTCCATAAAACGCTAGCTGCGGTCCCAATATTGTTACTACATTACGAAACACTTGTTGTATTTTGTATTATTTAACGCTAACATTGACAGCCTACAACGTTTCGGCGTTAGATAAGTGGTTATTTTTAAAATATTGACTGACATGGTTCAGGGCATTTCAATGCCATGCTTATAATCACAACAACCACGAGAACGAATTCTTGCAGGACTGGATTGTACGTTTTCCAAGTGGATTTTACTAAAACGAACGTGGCTCGTCCCGGCACGCAAGCAGCTAATTGACAGGTGTCATTTAAAATTGGTGCCAGTCAAGGGACATTTTCATCAGAACGCATTTTTCACCACACAAAAAGTTAGTAGTACTTTTACTCAACGAAAAATGCACTAACCAAAATTCATTGATAAATGAGAGAATGTTTTCTTTTGTTAGAAAAAGGAGTGTTTTTGCCAATATGTTAATTTTAGTCTAGTACCATTTGCACAACGAGTGCTTGGTTAGCTACATAAATAGAACTGAACTAAAATCTGCTTGATGACCATATCTGTTTTGATTCACGCGTCCTAGGCCAAATGCGCCTTGTTTAAATAGACGTCAGACAGTTCACATAACCCCGGGAATTGTGAACTTCTAATTCGGTCACAAAGCATTTAGTTAGCAAAATACACTTCGACTACGTAATTTTCAATCTAACCTGGCTTGTGTTTTAATGCAATGTAACAATTTTAAAATAAAAAACAATCGAGCAATGTAACAAGTATTTCGCCTCCTGTTTATGAATGAGAGACGGTTTTGTGTTTTTAAGCAAGCAGCTACCCACAATTCACAAATTCACAACGTTCTAGTAAAGTACAACGTAGAGTTTAATGTGACTGAAATACATTAAAGGTTGCATGCGATTGTTTAAAATTTGTCTATTTTGTAAAATGCACTTGTTGCAACGAGGCGTATAATTATTTGTTTTAATTAACAATCAGTTGACAAGCGCGTTTTTCAAAAATTCAAAGGCAGCAGCGTTGTAATGCATCGCTATATGAATGTTTGGATTTGGCAGCAAAAAAAATAACAATTGTATTGCGTGCGCCGGATCGTAGATATTATCGTGTTAATCCCGATTTTCTGTAATTTAAGTTGGCTGTTGCCTTTGTAAATGTGGGTGATTGTGGTAAATAAAATGAAATGTAAAGGAGTAGAATAAACAAACCTTTGGATCGCACATTGGAACGGGATCCACCCGAGTCACTAACTTGCATTGATGCCGAGGGCCTTTTGCCTGAAATGCAAAAAAAAACACACGGAAAATTCACCAACCAATTTTCGAAAATTGTTTTGCGTATCAAACAAAGAACTTTATTCTGTTGCACTGAAGCACAGGTGTGATTAGCGCGTGTCTGGAAAATGAATGGTTATGCTGTTCGACTTGATTAATTGCTGCAACGGGTTGGCCAACTACGTTTCTTGCACAAATTTAATTCATCAAATTAGTGGTGACTGTAGTTGAGGTAAGTGAAACCGATTTTATTCTCGACTTTTAACTCATGTTCGCCGGTAATCACCGTGGACGACGTTGAACGTCCGCTCGAAGGCCTTCTCCTGAATGCACGTCTGGCTGGCGCAGGTGGGGCGGTTCTGTGCACTGCCTCGACACCGATACTTATGAGCGTCGTGGTTCGTTGCGTTGACAATGACGAGTTGACTTTCGTTCGGGGAGAGGCGGTGGACTTGAATTCGCGCGTCAGGAGAAAATATTTGGTCACCAACGGCCAGAGGGTACAGTAGATCCGTGCGTTCCCATATAATCTTTAAACAAAATTTGAAAATTCCGCCTTATTTCATTTTGAAATACATGTTATTAGGCTGCGTTTATAATTATCTGCGTGAAATTGGAATCAAGTCAAATAATTTAGTCTTCATGAAATAAATTCGAGGTTAGGCTGCGTCTTCTCACCTTGATTGAAGTGTTTACCTGGAACCTGGAAAAAAAGTGACTCGCAGGTGGCAAAGTTGCGATTGGCTGATCTTCTAAATTATGTAGCAAAATTTGAACTCACATTTCTATGCGACTTGGGATGGGAACAGTCAAGGCGTATTGGCGTCCCGCTATCAAAGTACACAGTTGTTACACCATCGTCACCTGCATGAGTATGACTGGAATGTTCTCTCGAGTCTAGAAAAAATCCAATAATCCAAGTGAATTTCACTGGCTAGCTTGATTTTTTGAATTTTCTATTGGTTTACTGAACAGGTAGCCATATTTGTTTTGTTTTACTAGATAAGAGGCCAAAAATTGCAATTTTTTGACTAACTAGATCTTAACTTGAAGTAGGAAAATTAGCAGCCTTAAAAAGACGTCATGTGACCATGTGAATCATTTAAAAAACCGGTCATATTTTTGACTTATAAATAGTAATTGGTGTCAACGAGACAAGCGCTACTTTATTTTTTAAAAACGTGTACAAGAGAGCCACCTTGCTGCTGAGCGTTTGTTAGAAGCGAATTTTGTTTATAAAAAGAACAATTTTTTTGCAAGCCGCAAGCACGACATTTCCAAAAAATGCGTTTACTTAAACAACTATTCAACGCCATACTGGTGTGAAAAGGAACTGTCAATAACCCAAATGCATAGCGGTTCACGACGTCCACAATTGACTTAAGTGACGGATGCTAGATAGACACAAGGATCTAATTTAAAATATTTTTCACGAGATAATCTAGCAGCTTAAATTAATGTAAACTGTATTTGAAGGAATGGTCTCGTGTCTGAAGAGCAACGTGAAACAGATCACCAAGTGACTTGATTTTTGCAAGAGAAAACTTGCTTTTCAGCTTCAGCTTTTTAACACGGCGCATATATTTACCCAAGCATGCTAAACGCACTTAAACATGGGTTAGGAAAATCCCTGGTGGCAAAATTTTTGTGCACATATTTGCATTATACTTAGTAGTCACTTAAATTCATTCGTTGCTTTGTTCGAAATTCGAAAACTCAAGATATTCCAACGCGTTCGGCTTTAATTTAAGAGAAAAATATGCAAAAAAGTGCAGATTTGGGAAAGTAACAACTTGCCTGCACTTGGCTGTGGGATTTTGATTTGATCTGTTGATTGTAAGGTTCTACGGTCAAACGGGTCACTTTCCAAACAGAGGCCTAACCTCACGAAACATCCAAGCAAGGTCATGATAATTCTAATCCACGACTTCATTTTTTTACAAAAATTCACGTGTCGATGATTGTCTCACTTCTTCCAGAGGTGCACCATCTCATATTTTCGCGCCAATTAATGCTGTGGGTGGTCGAGGTAAAGTGGCTCTACCTGTTCTAGAGTGACCAATCACTGGCAAGACAACTGGTCACTCAGAGCCAATCAGAATGCAGGTTCAGCTATGTGTGTGCGTTCGCGTCTACGTGTTTGGGAAAGCGCGTTGGCTGATACCGTGGCATACGCCGTGGTGAACAGCACTTTTTTTCAAATCCATGAACTTCATCTTACTGAGTAATTTCCAACCGATTGAGGTTCCAAACATTTAATGCACAAAAGAGTGAGCTGATGACGCGTTTTTTCATAAAGTTTAACCAAACAAAACATTGTTTTTGCTTAATAAGTTCATGAAAGATACTAGGTTTATGATGCAGAAGCCGCGTCACTAACAATTTTCTTAAATTTCCAGTATTTGCCAGTCTACCGTCAATAGTTTTGTGCTAAATCTGTGAAATCGTTTGTGCATGAAGCAAATTTAAGCGAACACGCGTAGCATATTTTGCATATTCACAATTTTTCAGGCGCCTAGTGAATAAAATATCATTTCGCCTTTGCAAAAGCGGCTTTCATCAGCTAACATTGTTCTCAGAAGTGTTTAACTCAAAAATTACGGATTCCGTTTCAGCGAAAACATTAAAATACGTTTGAATCTCAGTGTTTCACAAGGACGCAGAATTGAGTAAGGTAAAATTTGATATTTCGAAAGTACGTCTAGAGTTAAAATAGACTCTAGTTGATCTATTCTTTAAATTATGCAGTAGCAATCAAATAGTGTTTCATTACATCGAGAATTTAATGCGAAACTAAGACAGAACTGTAAATACAGAAGTTTTATTGGTGAGAAAATTTGCTTTAACACAAATCATAGTCAAGCTTTGTACGCGAAGTTGCAGGAAATTTGACAAATTTTAAGTTTTGACAGCTTACGTATCTTTTTCTTAATACTTGAAAATATACTCAGTATTCACTTTGGTGCGTTTAAAACATGGTTCAAGGATTTTAAAGAACATTAAAGAATGCCAAATTTATTTCCTCTAAATGTTTTGGCGTTTTCATTTCGTCGTATAAATAATTCTTTTCTGTTGTTAATCCACAAAAGCGCTGTGTTTGGAGTGCAGTCTTCTTGGTCAACACTAGATTGTTGAGATGCTTCCGTATTGATACACTAAATTTACAAACAACTAGCATAAGTGTTATTTGCTATTTGTTCGTGCCAAAAGCATTAGGCAAATAAGTGGAGATGTCTAGAATTGCGACAGCAATAACGCGATCGTGTGACGTTTTAACCTCAACTAGGCAACAATTTCCAGTGAGCCCGTCACTCGCTGTCAAGATGGCTTTACTAAAGCAGTCTTGCGATCTAAGAGAATAATCTATGGCGTAAAATAGCCTCTGTGCAGTAAATCATTAGTTTAAAATTTTCGAATTAAAAATTGCGCCTCTTCCTATGGATTCACCTCTGGAAGTTGAAAGATTGTTTCGTGGACTCGGAATCGACCAATCGGCACACCCACGCGCATTGACAGGAGCCGCGAGGTTAGAAATTCAAACACAACACAAAAAAAATCATAAAACGAAAGATTCTCGAACATGATATTCACCTTTTCATTCAAAATTGGGTAAAGGTACGAAATGAGGGTAAATGAACAAAGGAACTGTGATTGAAAATAAAAGAGAAGATGCGTTAGACAAAGCGTCACGGTAGGAAGGCGTAGGCGTTTTCTGGCTGCACAAGATATCATTCACTGGTAGAGAAAATCACAAAACAGTTAACAGCCATTGAACGTTGTCCAGTATTAAAAATTAAAATTTCCAATGCAAAACAAGTCTTTATTTTTGGATTGAAAGTGTTGGCTGCATTGGACTTTAAAGTCATTAAGAATATCAATTACTATCATAATTACAAGCAAATTTCTTAAGTTATGTCGAAGCACGAACATAAAGCACGCATGTTTAGCCATTTCAGATGATTGGTGAAACTACTCCGACCAATTTGGACATAATTTCGACAGTGATCTCAGACTGAGCACTATTGCAGTAAATCATGTCATTGTGTAACACAAAATTACAGTATCAGATACCACAAATCAATAATCAGTGAGTCCAAAGTCATTCTTCCTGCTTAACGGATACTCTAGAGCACATGATTGGTTCGCCATGTAGCCAATCAAGTAAATCTCTTTTGTGAAGACCGAGATCAAATGTAGTGGAAGTGCTAGATTTAAACTCAATTTTCGTGCCATCGACTGGAGACCTTATCAGCTTATTTGATTGACACAATATCGCGTTCACAACCACTCTATCACTTATCAGACTGCAGACGCATAAATATCTTGTTATCCTTAGGTCAGACAAAGAGTTATTTAGGTATGCAAAGCACTTGATGATGCTGAAAATATTGTTGAATCTTTTGAAATTCAAATGGATGGGTTTCTGTTTGCTAATGGCCGCAATTTTCTCGCCTCATTTCAACAATCCTAACTTCCGTCAGTTGTCATGTAGTGAAGTAACAGTAATTGTGTGAGGATGGGTAACAGTAGCCAATGAAATCGCAGTGAGTCATTGACGTCATCAGGTCAGTATAGAGGCCTCATTCACGCGCGATCGATGACGATCCATTACAGAGGATTATTTTTGTCATCCAAATGAGTCAGGGGCCTAACCTCCAAAAATCAAAAATAGATTTTTAATAAATTTTGGAGCACAACAATCAACATTTCTGATACTCATGGTTCAGAATTTACAAAACAAGGCATTGTTAGGTCATTTTTTAGGCATTGGATCAAGCTGGGATTAACTATTTTGTCGGTTTGAATGTTGGAAGACGGTGGATTGGCCAAAATTGCTTTAAAGTGGTCATGTTACATTTACTAATACCAAAGTAACCGTTGTCGCAAAAAACATCGCTTGTAAAAATATAAAGCACTTGTCTTTCTGAAACCGCTATGGGGAAAATTAATTGGTTTGGCTTAGATGGTTCAGCTCGTTTAAAACCTGACTTGGTCTATGCTGCAGCTGTCACTCGTCTAGTATTTGCCACCCGGAAAACGGCTGTGTTAATTTTTTTTTCCACTCATAATTCAAAATATCTAGGATGTGTAATTTTTGAACCAGTCACCACTGATTGCCTAGAGAATTCCAAAAGTCCTGTTAGATCTTTCAAATTTTCTTGTAATGTCGAAGTCATTGACATTTAATTTTTAAAAAAAAAATTATAAATAATTTTGTGTTCTAACGATTAAATCAAATGGAACGGCAGAAATCAGTTTGTGTTGACTTTGCATAGCAACACAACTGTATTTCAAAAATTAATTTCGAAAAAAACGAAGAGTATTTAATGGTAATGAGAGGAAGAAGCTAGTTCTACCTGTGATTAATTGCAAGCCAACCAAAGTACAACGGATGTAATCTAGATTGCAATTTCAAAGGTAGTACAATCTGTTTGATTGGTTGGCATTTTGTTCAAACAAGCATTCAACAAAGGTGACCAAACACAGCAGTAGTTTCTAAGTCAACTTGCACCCTGTTTCAAAAACCACG